ACACACACACACACACACACACATACACACACATATATACACACACACACACACACCGTAGAATATTTTTCGCACTCATTTTCAAAATTCATATTTATTTTTGTGTAATTTAAATTGTAAATAAATAGATCTATTTGTAAATAAGTGAATAAATGAACTACATGAGTTTGTTTTCCACTCTAAACTGAATGATGATAGTGCTAATTTCACACTTTTTTTTTCTTTTAAGATAAATGATATTAACTTAGAGAGATTTCGTGCAGATTTATCAGCATCTCTGTAGAGAAAGCTTTAAACAATTCAAGATTACAATCCAATAGGATTTAATTATAGCTATTAAATTTAGTAACAAATTAGTCAGTATATAATGAAATAATTTGTGCAATATTAAAGTGTATCGAGTGTAATGATAACTGTAAACTGTACAGTTTTAATGTCTTTAAAGCATTTCATTAGAATTTGAGAAAAAAGAAAACGCTTCAAGCGTTTTATTTCATCCAAAACAAAATCATACCGCAGTAATAAATTATATTGCTGGCTATATGATATTTAAAATTTTTAAATTTTTGTGTATTTTTAAGATCAGTTGCATTCATTGCTTCACGAAGTTTATTAGATAACTTCCATTTCTTATACGTAATTGTCATGAACACAAAAAAAAAAAAAAAATTAATTACAGTTTCAAAGTAAAAAAAAAAGGACGAGATTTGAAATTAATATTTCTTATTTGAGACTAATCAATAATTTTCTATCAGTTAATACGTTTTTCTCATTCTAAAAAAAACATACACACACTATTTTTGATATGCTATCCGGGAAGATATTTAAAATGATAATTAAGGGATATTGAAAGAGAAAAAAATTCGTTGCGAGTTAATGGAGGAAATATTCTGAAGGAAAAAAAAAAAGGGAAAAATGGAGAAATGTGTGCCATCCTCTCAGAATTTTCCTAACCTGAACTATCTGAACATATTCACATTTCAACACAATAACAAAATATATTAAATCCAACTTCAAAAAATTCAACAACAATCCAATGTTTCCAGTCGAATATTCTACTTAATATAAGCATCTTTTCGCAAATTCAGCTCATTAAATGTTGTTACACACATAAATTAATTGACTTATCTCGTGTATGTCTCGAACGGAGTTAGTAGAAGAATTTATTCTGTTGGCTTAGCTGAAAACAAGGCCCATCGATGTAATGATGCTGAACTGCTCATTACCGATTCTCAACTATATGCAAATATTCTCGCATTATTGATTCTGTATTGTACATTAATAAGATGTGACATGGCTAATGTCATCCAATTATCAACTGAACAAAACATCGACATAAAATTTTACTTCAACAAATTTAATGTGATCGCAAACAAAATGAAGTAAATGTAGAAGGAAAAAATCTACTACCAAATAAGTCGGATAACTTATAAATTAGGATAAAAGTAGAATAAAATGAGATAAGTGAAAAGAAGAAGAATTATGATCGATCTGTGTAAAGCTATTCCGATTAGATATCTACACGGAAAGATGGCACTGCTTATATAATATTATGTAATCAAGACAGATTGGCTTACTGATAAAGCACCAAAAACAATGCTCTCTTATCTATGATCTCAACAAATTGATAACAGTAACAATTGTAAGCAGAAGAGAAAGCATCGAGACTGTCGTAAATGAGTGAATGATGAATGTTGCATATTCCCTTGCATACTTGTAATGAATTTCTTTGGTACACACTCTGCACAACTCATTAATAAAATGTCTGAAGAGAGGATTGGTAACAGATGAACAAAAATTTTCATAGAATCAAACTGCACAGACATTTATTATTGTAAGCCATCCAAGTGAATTCAGGTGTACAGAGAGAGAAAAAAAAAAACTTCGCTGCAGAAGTTGAGGAATTTCATATTTTCCATATGTAGCTACGCTACTTCTCGCTTTGATATTCATCACATGATTAAGTTGATTCTGAAACAAATTTTTAGTATCACGAAATACAAGCTTACAAATTCTAGCTTACAATAATTGGCGTTCTAGCAAACGGAATGTGTAAAATATATTATTCACAAACAATGACGTATTTTTTTTTCATTTACAGATTCAAAAAATTACGGCTATAAGAGTTGACTATTATGAATAAGGTCAAAGATATAGTAGGCTTTCTTGTACTTAAATGAATACCACCAATTTAAATGACTCTTAATGGATATGAATCATTCATTTCAGACTAATCAATCATTTCCACATGAATCTTTGCTAGTACTTTCAAAAAAAAAAAAAAAAAACTAGATGAAATACAGAATCTGGAAAGAATTATAAACTTTTTTGGATGATGGTCAAAAAGTACATTAAATGATACGGTTAATGAACAGCAAAAGAGTAAATGAAAAAGAAAAAAATGGCAATGATTAGGAATTCTTGGACAGGAATGGAAACAACAGGATAAACAGTCATTATTTTTTAGAGTGACCAAGACAACTGTTGATAGTTCATTAATATAATCTGCCTGGCCAATAAACATAATGTGCCAAGAGATTCATCTCATACAGCTAATTCAAGTCGAGAATAATTAGTAGTTTTGAAGTGATGGGACTAATTCTTTCATTTCGATCATCACACATTGTGCTATGATAATTTAGCAAAGTTTATCTGAATTTTACGGTTCATAGATGATTTCTTGTAAAATCAGTTAATGGCAGAACCATTATGCAATTAGTCGTTGTAATTGTGTAAATGATATATTGAATTAAATTTACTAACTAATTATTTAAATTGCAACCGTATCAATAATTGATACAAAGAGTATTTTTTACAGTTCAGCTTTCTTCGAGAGAACCTGTAAGTTCTTTTGCTAGTGTTGTATGTATGCGGCAGAGCAAATTTATTCTGCTTTTTATTTATCTCTTTTAGCTGGTGACACATTCTGTAATTGTCATCAGTAATATGAATTTTCTCCATAAGCTTGGAAGTAATGAAACAAGAAGTGATTGGATTCAGTTATCATGTACTTTTGAATTGTAGTAAATCTTAGATGGACAATGTCGCTGGAAGGAGGAATAGAAAGCTTGAAGATTTTGAATGAAGAAGCAGATGATTCTGATTCTGAGGTTGTTTTTTTTTTCCATAACATTGATTACTCCGAAATATTCGTAGTTGTTTACTGCTAGGCTAGGTAAATTTTGTGTACTTCCATTATTTTATAAGTAATTCATTCTTTTAGAGTAAATTGGTTCCACCATTCATAGAAGATGAAAAGATGAAAATGATGATTCCTGTGCTCAACCAGCTAGCTTTCCACATTTTCAGAACTCTGCTGAGGCAACATTAAATAATTTCAGGTTGATATGATATCGATTTAATTGCGGTAAGTTTAATGATTCATTATGTTTTAATATATTTATAAATTGATCGTTCCATGCTATTTTGTTGGCACGAAATGGATTTTTATGAGCGGTATAATTTTAAATTGAAAGCTATTTAGTGGAAATTTTTTCCTTTTTTGATGTTTAGGAAGGAGTGGAAGTCAGAATTAGATTCTCGGCACGAGGAGCCAAATACGTCAGCGGAAGCTAGAAGCAAGCATGATCAGTTGCTACACGATGCTGTAACTTTACTTATTCGATATATCAAGATAGTATAGCAGCACAGGTACTTTATTGGGAGATTTCCTTTCATTTTTATTCATTTAAATGTCAGTTTTTTTGTAGAGAACAGTGATTTATATGTATACATCAGAAAATTTAGCTTCATCGCCATAATGAAAAATCGCTGCAGCGAACATTACACATCCGCAGATCGCTTCACCAGTTCGTGCCTTATGAAGTGAGTTCAATTTCCATTTGAAAGAGTCTCTTCGTTGCATTTCATAAATTCTATATTTTATTCTTGCAGATAGTGGATCAAAAATTCGATATGAAATTACATTTTGGAGATGGAAAAAAACGACGAGCTCATTGTGTGTTGCAAATTCTTGAATATAGTTTTACAATAACTTATTTGGATGGTAAAATATCTCACAGTTGTCTGGATACTACTGATTGTCAGGCATATCCAACATTGTTTTTCAGTCGGGTGAAAAGTTATGCTATTTGATGAAATTTTAGCTTGAAGAAAATAGTTTATTTGCAATATGTATAAATGAACTGATCAATGATGATGAGGGCATGTTCTCATTAATACACGTACCGAGTATGTTCATACTGAAGTTGTGTGAGATTGTTAGGACAAATTATGTTCGTAATAATGAGGATCCTTGGAAAATGCATCGACTGTTACTAACAGCGTTTATAGATTTTAATATCACGAAAGATACATATTAAATGGGTGATTTTAGTTATTTTTTTAGCACATAATTTAGCTAATTTCAACTACTGAAGGACATGTCCTCTCCATGCCAATTCGAACTTAATGGTCGCAATTCCTTTTTCCGGAGATAAAATTTCTCGTATTAGATGGAAAGTACATGATTGCTTAGCACATCGTTTACGCAATTACTGAGTATAGTATTATTTTGTTGAGAAGTTAATAGTTAAAATTTCTGCCAAAATTTGCATTTCTTTTATTATTGCTATCACCCATTTTTGATTTGTTATTGATAGAACGTAGGTGAAGAAATTGGATACTTTCCTCTAAGTTGCTGTCTAATAGTAATATTTGTTTTCACATGATAAAGGCAGTTGAATTGTTTGAACATAATTCGTAAGCACAACCTAGTAGACGGATATAGAATTTTAAACGTTAGAATTCACTTCCTTTGATTTGAAACTTTTGCCACCGTAACTGAGAAACATGACGTGGAGTTTGAGTAATAATTGCATGTCATGCTTAGCCTGAAGAGTTCTGATGTAATGAAGGCATGGATTGGATGTTTGCTTTTTCTCGCAGAAGGGTGATACGTTCATCCAATGGTTACATATTTTCATTTCTTAAGTAATGACAATAAATTTTTCAACTTAATCTGGAGAATTTCAGATTCATCTTTTGTGACACTTATAAACGCTACACTGTTGCCGTGACATATGCCAAACTTTTGTATTGAATTTTCGGATTTAATAGCATTCTTTGTTGCTAATCGCTTCTTTATCAAAAGAAATGCTGTCTTCTATGATGTTAAATGTTAAAATATTACTTACATATAAGTAAGGAGGGAGCATAAAGTGAATTGGAGAGATCTGTGGATACTTGTTATTTCGACTGAAAAGAAGAAAATAGTTAAGTTAAATAGACTAACTATGCATAATATCCACGTAAATGTCTGAACTTTAATTCTCTCTCGCAACAGAAATGTTCCTGGCATGTAGGAAACTTTTCTTCTGAGAAATCTCTTAAAAAATTCAACGATGAGGTATAGTAGAAAGCTTCTTGAAGAACTGATCAAAAATCAGTTTTACTAGTCAAAATGGATCACATTTGGATATTATTTTCTTATCTAGTGTTACAAGCAAAAAAAGTGGATATAAAACGCTCTTTTATTCTACTATAATAAGATCAAATACACCGATAAAGAAAAGCTTAAAAGATTTAGCATATGGATTTTCTTCTAATTCTTAAAGAATGAAGAAAAAAACTCCTTTTAACGTTTATCCGAGATAAATTCTATCCAAAAACGAACCAGGTACCACTTTAAGCTTCATTCTTTTTTTGAACTGGCGTAACCTAAAGCGAGAAATTTCACTGAATTTCCAGCTGGATTATTTGCTTGCCGAAGATTTAGAATACCTAAAGTTTTGAATTTTCAACAACTAATTGATTCCACGCAATTGGGAAATTAGTACTTTAGTTATTGTGTGATAAATACACTGTTCTAATTGTATACTTTTGAAGTACATATCAATGTTCTGAAAGATTCTTTATGTGAAGGATCAATGAAGAATGCAACATAACTAAACAACCATTACTTTATGCAAGACGATCACTGCTAACCAAATTAACGATAGCTAGCTAGATATTACTAACATGAAGAAGTTCCGCAACCTTACATCAACTTATGTGTTTCGTTATTCATTAACACCAAATATCGTAGGAAACATCTGTTTCAAAAGATTTACTGTATGTAATGGCAAATATTGCACAAAATTCCCTTCTGCGTAACCAAGTAATAAACCTAAAAAGAAAATATGAAATGCAAATGAAACGAAAACTTGAAAAGAAAGTTGCTTTCATTCAAAGAAATATTTCAGATCTAAATTGAAATAGCAAGTGACTCACTGCTAACAATTGGGAAAAATGCTTTATGCTCATTACGCATTAGTTATAGGAATCTTGAAGAAATATGGCTTAATTTCTAGTAATAAGGAAATAAATTCGATGAAATGAACCCATCATAACATCGCTAACATAGTGTCGACCAATACAAATTCGGGAAGCTCCCAATATAAACGGAAATGACTTCACAATGAGTGTAATGAAGTGTGAAAATGGACAAAAGGCTAAACTGAAATAGCAAAATAACATTTCATTGGCAGGTTTAACGCAAGGTTGTTGTAATGATAATGAAATATTTTACGCACATCATAAGAATTTTCTTGAAAATTTTCTCTATTCAATATATACAAAATTCAAGTTTAAGTGTTACCACAACACTGATAACATCGCACCACGGGAGGAATGACCAGAAGGAAATGAAAATTTATCGACCAAAGGCGCCTCATAGAGCTATAATGTTTCATCATGAAACAAGGAAAGCACAGTTAATGATTAACCGGTAGAGTTTTGATGTTGTCTGATTCATGATAAAACTTATTCATAAAAAAAGATTCCAAAAAATTTAGACTAAGTTTCGAATTTAAATTCGCTTGCTCTGGAGAATAGCAAAACAGTTATGATTTTGGTCAAAGAACAAAAAATTCGAAGGGATTATAATAGATGAGGAGAGACAAGAGAAAATTTGTGCGACTTGATGCAGTTCACATCAACATTTTATAATAAAATTTAAAATAATCTTATACCTGGTCCTTAATATCAAAAGGCGGTCGCGATCTTCTTACTGTTCCTTTGATAATCCCAACAATTACCAGATCAACACAAAGACCTTAAAAATTAGTTGGGCCTAACTAATTGTATGAAGCAATGGTTGGTTTTGGTAAAGATTACCAAAATCTTGAAAAAATATTGTCTAAAAAATCAAAACACTCACCAAATGTTAATACAGCTAATTCATATCTGGTATTCAGTGAAAAATTATACCTCATAGATATCAGGAATATAAATGAACTGAAAATCATCGAAATGATCGACTAAGTCAAGATTAGATTTAAAAATAATGAAATATTCAAAAGTGTTACAAATACTTTAAGATTCATCAAAATTATCTGTTCGATTTACAACGAAATGACTGCAATATACATACTAATGGAAATAAAAATTTTCATTCAATAATTAATTTAATAATTATCAGTTCTGAAAATTGAAATAAGATATGAAGAAGATGGAATACCTAAAAATTAGCCACAAACCACCATGCATTGACCACTCCATACATAAAAAGATGAAGCGTAAATTACTATGCGAATCAAGAGCATCATTCAACACCACAAGCGAAGTCATTTCTTGATCCCAAATCCATAACTGTGTTTGAACTAAAACTAATTAAAAGTCGTATTCTAAAGAGAATAATTTGATCAAACAAAACGTATATATTGAATTATGTTAATATTTCATTAAAGTAACATTGCTATTCTTCCTTCTGACAAAAATTACATATTTGACCGTCCGAAGATATTACCTTCACTTATAAAAAATAATGAACGAACTCTCCGTACTAGTAACTTATCTGCTAAATAAAGTTTCCGCAAGGAAATAAATATTCAATCTTTTACTTTCTTAATTCCAGCAAATCTATTAATGTAAAAGCGATATTTCCACAAAATTTTCGATTCATATTCTTTCGTTCATTCCTATCATACAATGACCTCTCTATAATTTATTAGCAAAGATTTGAATCCACTTCCTCTTCTCTTGTCACTTTTATCGCATCTTTGTTCATTCAACTGTCCATTAATTAAAAGTCAACTTATCTCTGATATTATAGAGTATAATGCCGTTTGCTATACTATTTTTCTTAAAAGCACAATTTAATTTAAATTTTAAAAGCATAATTTAATTTTTCCATAATGCAGATTAGCTCTAACTTTTGCTGAAGCGAATTTTTGCTCAATTTATAAAACCGTCTAGAAGAAAATCTACGTATATGTAAAATGAAATATAAAAAGACTCACTATCCACCATACTCAACACTTGATCAAATCATTTTCCACCATTATCAGGTTAGCCTGGTCCTTCAATGCCCAAATATCATTCAAGAATATCAGTTATATCCAATAGGACAACTGAAATCATCCTTCCCTCATATTCAAGTCCTTACCTATTATATCAAGAATCTAGAATGCAAAGCAATGCATCAAACTTCATTTATATCATCATATTAAGCAGTACTATAAAATGCGTTACGAGCACGATCTCAACATTTTATCTCAAAATTATATTTTTATACTCAGTAACACTGTTATGTACATGATGAAGAAACAAAAGTTACATCGGTGAAAATGTCGCTTCTAATTTAACTGACCTTTTTTCATGGTTTGCTTTGTAAAATGCCACTTTGATATAACTGAATGCAAAATTGACTTTTATAAAAAAGATAAACAGAAAATTTTAAAAAAAAAGAAAACTTTAAAAGAAAAGGAAATATTATGACCAAAATTTTGATTTAATCATAAATTGGGACGAGATAGCCACATATATATGTATCACAATCAATTCTCAAAAAAATATTAAAAAATGAAACATTCCAACTGAAAACAAATGTTTTTCACACCAAATGCATTATACAATGGAATTCATCGCAGACTTAAGCCTACCGCTTTTATAGTTAATAATCCATTTCTTACAAAAAAAATCTATCAACAAATTAAAAGCATTCTCAAAATACATTAAGGTATTGTACAGACCAATTTCACAACACCAAAACGGATTCAGTGCTTTTTCGAATGTTTCCTCTGACGCTTTTTTATAAATGAGGCCATTGGATCATTTGCATGAATTTTCGTCAATTTATAGGCCTCCATTTCAGCGGGTGTAGGAGCGCTTACGTCATAATTGGAATGATAGCGTCGTTTTCGATCTCCCTAAAAATTTGTGTCAATATTTTTCTCCGCTAATTTTGTTAATATTACACTCCCTTAATTAGCAACCAGCTCTAACAGCTCACCGAAAAAATATATGGCAACATCTCCTGATCAGCACTTAATTTCGTCTGACATTTAATGCGGCAATACAACCTGATTCACAATCCAGAAGTTAGATAATTGCTTATATTAGATAATGACGAAAACCATTTGAGATAAAATAACTCTTTTTAAAGAAGTTGAAAAAATACCAGCTGGATACTTTCTTCAGCATCTTCCCGATCCTTATTGATCTTTTTGATTGCCTGTTCAAGTTCTCTATTCTTTTTCTTTTCATCATCCGATGAAATCCCATCCGAACTTTTCTTTAACTTCATTGCTTTTTTATTTTTATTTTTCCGCTCTTTTTGTCGCTTTCTCTTTTCCCTCTTTTTTTCACGTCTTCTTTCGTCGCGTTTAACTGAATGTCCAAACAGGATTTTTTTTTTTCATAACATTTATTACATCTTCAAGCGATATTAATAATGAAAAACAGCAATTAATAGATTTCTCTCTTTACTCTTGACATTCGGACCTGCGTTTGTGCATAAGTTTTGCGGCCAAACAATTACTTCCGCATTTGTTAAATTTCTAACCTTAAAAAAAATCTCTAAGTACCTCTCTCAAGTTCAAACTGTCGTTCTTTTTCTCGTTCTCTTTTTTCCTCAACATCCAGCTCGGAATCAGATGTGTCTGAAGATGATTCACTACCAATAGAAGAATTTTCGTCCCCTTCTTGTTCATTTTCCGATGCTTTATCTGTAAAAGTTAACCGTTTATAACACTAAAATGTAATCACTTTGGAATCTGGCTGATTTATCGGCTTTGGTGATTAATGAAAATAATACCAGCAGTTTCTTGCTTGATACTTGGACCAGTGTTTGTGATTACATTTTGCCGTGCAACAGTTGCTTCTGCGTTTGTTGCATTTATAGCTTTACCAGCTTCACCAAGGCAGTATGAATTCTTTACTAAAGAATGACAACATGCGAAACCCCACTGACCAGATTTCCAATAAGACCCCCAAACAGATTTGTGATTATTCAAGTACCTAAACATAAAAAGACATTAATAAACAGACATTACTACCACTAATATCGCTAATAAATTTACTTTACATAGTCCAGTTCTTTACATGTTTATTAAAGATACTTGCCAAAATCTTATTCATTATACAACTATATACTTCAATAGGTTTTTAACTTCATAATTAACAAAATATTAAAAAATTACAAAAATTACTTGTCTTCTTCATAACGACTTAGTACCACTCGTCGTTCTTCACCTTTGATTATTTTTCCTTTTCTGTTGTACTCTACATAATTCTCTGTTTGTGCTAGTAACAATTCTTTCGGTGGTGCATGTAAATATTTCTAAAAATAGTCCGATATTTTTGCTCTCATCCCTTATTTTTAGTCATAAATTAAGTAATGATTTTTAAAAGAAACAAAAGATAGAGGATGCCACCAAGATTTAACTTTAACGAAAACAAAATCTAAAGAGAACGAAATAAATAAAAAAAAATTAAGCTTCTGAGAAGTAATTTTATTATAGCATAAATGCCAGAAACGACTGGTTCGTAATGACCGATATTATACTTACTTCGCCGCCATATTTTTCCAACAATTTTCTTTTATGCTCTTCTTTCGCACTCAATTTTTGTTGCTCAAATTCTTTTTTCATCGCTTCCAGTTTTGTAGGCTCAGCTAATGCATGCACATCAATTCCTGCATTGAAATATTAAAATTAATGATACAACTAAAAAATATTTAATCAAATTGATGAAAAGTCGCGTTTAATCTTAACAGAAGCAAATATTAGCAATTCCTACTTACTTAGTCCTAACAAAATTTGTTTAGAAATTGTTCCTTACGAAAGCCATAGTGATTATACTCAATCACCACCGTCTGTGATTAATGACCAAAAAGAAGCAAAAAAAAAATCAAATGAAAATTGAAAGTTATAATACGCAGTGCTTTACCCTTCTCCATCTATCAGACAAAACCTTAGTAATTGAGCTCTCGTGCGATGAATAGAGAAGACATCGTCATTTCTATCTCGTTGAAATGATAATACATTCTTATAGAATATTATGTATTTAAGAGGGAAATAAAACCATACGCAAATAAGTATGGTTTTACAGTTCTACTTTAAAATCTCATATCTCAAGCAGAAATACTCAGTTCTGCTCTAAATTCTTCTTACATAAGAATACATACACCCTATTATGCTCACTAACACTGACATATTTCTTCTTATTCTTTTCTCTCTAATATAAGAATAAGACAGGTACACTAACCTTTACAACGGGCCTGCCATGCGAATACCTGCGCTTCATTAGCTTGTACTACTTCTCCTGTATAACGTATGAAATTCTCACCAGCAAATTTAGCTGCCTCTTTCTCTTTTCCAGGTACATTCTACAAGGACAATGATCTCAATAAATATGGGAGGGAAAATTTGAATGATTGGAAAAAAAGCATAAAATCCAATTTAGCATGAAATTATGTTATACAGAAGTTAAAACATCAATAAATAGATAATTACAAAAGTGGTATATATTTTGTCATGAAATTTACTTACTGCAAATGGATTCTCTCTCATCGAACGCGACTTTGGATCGTAATAAGGCCCATTCGGATCCAAATTATAGAGATATTTTGCAGTGTCTTCTCTAAAATTAATTTTTAATTAACATTTCATATTAAAAAATAACCACATACCGCTAGACGAAATCTTTATTTCCATACCTAATACGAAGATTTCTCACAGTGATTCGTGTACGCGAATCCATATCAACTGTTACACCTGCCATATCAGCATCGTCGGCATACATATCTTCATCTGCAGGTTCTTCTACCATATGATGGGTACCTTCTCCCGCTTCCAATTCTTCTTTCAAAAGTTCTCCCTTCATCTAAAACAAGTAAAATTAATCAGAAGTACAGAGGTAATGATGGCATGAGACTTAAATTTCAAGTCTAAACAATTGAAGAAAATCAAAATTACCTTTTCCTCCCGGAGAAGCTTCCTTGTCTGCTCCAGTTTCTCGTGTTCCTCAACAACTTGCTTGTACGTCTGTGGATCATACCCATTCCATCGATCCCGTTTCGCATCCCAACCAAGCGTTAATTTTGGCTTTAAAATTTTATACAGTATGCTTAGTTTACACGTTGAAAAAACGAGATAATAGTGAGAAAATGGGATAAATTTTCAACAATCGACAAAATATCGACCATATCTGTCTATTTTTATTGTATAGTATGATCTAAAATTAATATGCACATAAGCTAAATCTTCTGAATTACAGTTTCATATATATGAAGAAATTTTTCAAAATTAGTTGATTTGCACAACATTTATGTTGCACAATTTAAAGAGTTCAGAAGACAAACCTGAACATATTCGTCTGGAGCAATATCCTGATTTGTCCACATGGCACCTACTTTACGAGGTCTCTCTAAACAGTCCTTCTTTCGATGCGTCATAGCACCACAGTTTTCACAGGCACCCTAAATTTACAGTGATTTTGAAAATAGTATATAATGTAAAAATTCAAAGATAAAATAAATTTTGCAGAAATCAAGTCAAATTTAAATCAACCTTTCGAAATTTCGTCGCTCTTTCATTTGTTACACCTCTTTTATACCAATCATCAATTGATGACCATTTAATTTGTCTCTCTTCATGCGGCCTTTGATGCTAAAATTTCATATTTCAGAGAGAAAAAAAAAGAAAAAAAATACGTATGAAAATGATTGTTTGCTCTCCGTTCTTGCCTTTTTCTCTCTATCTTTTAAACTTGTTCCTTTAATTGCTGAAATTAGATCTTTAAACGAACCTGTAGAGTAGGTCCATCAGCAGGCACATACCATGGATGCTTTGCAATGAATTCCGGAATATGCGGATTAATATCACGCCCTGTGACGACATCCACTGTTGCTGGAGCTATACCTAATTTTTGTTCTTCTTCCAAATCCTTCAAAAAAAAACTTTCATTTTAACTTGAGATCATAGAAAAAAAAAGCAAGATATATCGTTTTTTTTTTGTTTGTAATAATTCAAAAACAAATCTTTTTTAATGATAAAGATTCGATACCTTTTGCTTTCTATATTCATCTTTACTTTTCCGTCCTTCTTGCACATCGCTTATTCCGATTTCCTGCTTGAGTAGTTTCGATACAGGAATTTCTGAAGCATTTGTTGCCATTCCTTTTTTTTTTTCTTCTGAAACAATATATTTATATCCTAACCTCGATTAACTCAAACATCTTTGATTCATCGACAATGTAAAAGACAAAACCACCAGGGAGGGGGAGGGGGTCAACCGTGAAGTACCATAGGGGTTACGTGCAACCTGATAGGTCAATGAATGCTGGTATCACACAGGTAAGTTTCTGTCAGTTTTGCTTCAAGCTAGTTATAGCATAGGCTTAGCCTTTACTGTCTTTTATTATTTCGCACTCTGTTCGATAGAAAGTGTACCTACGATTACTTTTTGTACTGACCAGTACAAAAAAATTGCTTGTGGAAAGTTGACATGTGCCTACAGTATTTACTGTATACGCCACTTGCAAAGTTAGTCATTTCTGTTCTATTAACACAAAAATTTATGTATTTATGACGATATGACGAATTATGTTGAATTAAAAAAGTTTAATTGGTACTTTTTAGCTCAGGGAATTTCTTACGGTTTACAACACCTTGACAGACTCGTGTTTTCGAGCGTGCATCCGAGAATTCAACCATCGTCAACTAATTGAATCCGAGACGGAGTGTGTCAATAAATGTAATTAATACTTTTTATTTTATCTCTTCTCCTAATTAGTGATACTAGGAGGCTAAGTATTTCAATTTTTAGATAATTCAGTAGAATCCACAGATGATACACCTGATCTCCTTTGTATCTTGCGTAATCCAATTTCTCTTTCTGTTTAAAATTGTGTCAGTTTATATAGGATTTCATGAGAGAGTAAGTATTAGATTTTTGTGGTATTATTTTTGCATATTCTTCAGGGCAGAACCATCATCAGTTTTAAATGATAAACTTTAAGATACTAAACTTTTGCTTTGATTAAATCATACCTTCGTATGCTTTTGTAAGTACTGCAAAGCATATCTGAAGCATCGATTACGCTGAAAGAATTCTTTATGAATTCCTCTCAGCGTTCCAAAATTTTGAACACTTTTTTAAATTTGAAACGTGTGCCTAAATGTTAACACTTAACATTACATTATTGCAGGTATTGATAAACACATGCGCACAAGTCAACGTCTTATGCTGATATTTGCAGAGCAAGCGCCAAATAAACTATTTAAAAAGAAGGAATCACCAGTTCGTGGTTTTTTTCTTCAGTTGTTTTGTCATTTTTCAATTTGCTTATATTCAGTTTTGCAGGAGTAAATCATGAGCATCATATCAGAGCATGGTTATCGTCGAGATGGGCGAAAGCCACATCAAATTCGAAACTTAAATTATAAACTGGGAGTCTATTCACAAGCTGATGGTTCAGCTTATCTTGAACAAGGAAATACCAAGGTTTGCTAATTGTTTCTTGGAATACCGGTTATATTTAAGCATTTTTAAAATTGCATAATGCAAATAGTAGTGCATATATTTTATTTGAAAAAGCGAAAGTAGAAGTTTTTAGTTAGCTGTGGAAGTGGACTACCTTGCCTTTCCAAGTAAGAGTTTCTTGTTGACTTAATGACTTTACGGCTTTGCTGCAAATATTAATTTGGGAATCCTAAACCTCTCCATACTTTTTCATTCGTTTCCAAGTAAGCGTGATTTAGGTTCTGTGTGCAGTATATGGTCCTTACGAACCCAAACAACGAAGTCGCTTACTGGAGGATCGTTGCATTATCAACTGTCAATATAGCATGGCCACATTCTCAACTAATGAGCGGAAGGTTTAATATATATCAATTGTATATAAAATTACTAATGACTTATTTTTTATTTGGTTGAAGTATGTGATTATTTGTTTACAGTAGTATTAAAATTATTGCTGTAGGAACGACCACGAGGAGATCGTCGATCCCTTCAGTTTGCTCGGCTAATGGAGAAAGCATTCGAAGCAGCAGTTCTGACGGAAAACTATCCACGATCTCGAATTGACGTTTTCTGTGAACTGTTGCAGGTATTAATCTTGTAGTGTTCATGCTTGTATTTTTCATTGCTATAATTACTTACTGTGCACATAATTCAAACGGTTTATTGGTGTTTCGGATTTCCAGGTCTCAATAAACAAAAATGTCATTTCATTTTGGCAAAACTTCTAACATATGTTTGCTTTGAAACTGCCATTTCCATTCTAGTTGATATATCTAAAAGAAATTTTTGGATATATCAACTAGAATGGAAATGGCAGTTTTTTTGAATAACAATTTTTGGAAGTTTTGTGTTTTTCTTCATAATCATATGTGTTGCCCAAGACATTCATCTTGTGATGCTTCTCCCCACTGTTTTCTATTTTTCAGGCAGATGGAAGCCATTTAGCTGCGTGTGTCAATGTGGGAACATTAGCACTTGCTGATGCAGGTGTGCCAATGCGTGGCCTGGTTGCGGCAGCCTCATGTTCATGTGCACCAGGTGGATTAGCGTGTGTAGACGTCAATTCGCGCGAAGAAATGGATATAATTCCTCAACTAACAGTGGCTACAATATCGGGACAAGATGCAATTGTGTTGGCTGAGTTACAAAATAGATTGCATAGGAGTCATCTAGCAGTGGTATTAGAAGCGGCCCGAAAAGCAACAGCTCAGGTACATTCATGTCTCGAAGCTGCCGTACTGACTCATATTAAAGCTGCCATTGGTTTACCCTCCGATATTGATATGGAACGTGATAGCATTTGATCTGATGATTGAGTAGCAAAAATAATCATTCATTCATAATATCACTTCATTTTTACATTGTATAAGGTTCACTGTAAGGTTCGAAGAAGCAGTAAAGTACTTTAACACAATGATGTTGTTCTTTGCTTCGCTATTTTGTTTACTTATGCGTTTCTACTTAAGGCTAAATAGATTTTTTCAATTTTTCGATGTTAAATTGTTTTTTTTTTTGTGGATATTTGTTACTGGATCGTTTGTTCATGCGTTCCATTTGTTCTCATGGATTTAAATTTTTCCCAAAGTTGAAGATGGGATATTTATTATTGTATCTCGTTTTCCGTTACTGTTTTGTTGTTAAAAACTTGTTAAATTCATGAAATTTCTCCTTTATATCATTTTACGTAAAATATCGAATCTATACATATGGGAAATGCTCAAGAATTCGAATGTAGAAGGTCAATTAAACTACTAAGTCTGCTGGAAATTTCCAATAGTAATCAGATTTCATTTTTTCAGACTTTGTTTTAAGTGGCAAGTTGCATGATAATTTTTTTGAAATGTTTGACATCAGAGAATTTTTTAATGAGGAAGTTCTACATTCCTACCACATCTGAGACGATGTCAATAAATAGCATGGAACGATGGCTGATGCTATTGTGTTACGCTTTCTGATTACATGCATTGTTTGAATTTTATTTTCAATATTTCAGTTTCACTTTTACTTAACTCTAATATTTTGCATCCGTTGAAAATATCTTGGAGAAGATTCGAGAATATAGTAAGAGGGAGGGTTCGACAGGAAGGATATTATAAATTTGTTCTACGACAGGCTTGTATACTTATACTGTTGCAGTTCATTAAATGAGGGTTTCTGAGAAGCGACGAATCTTGTTAGCTTATTCGATTTGGTAGTAACCAGAATTTTGCAGATGTCTGTGGAGATTGCTGGACCTTCAAGTTTCAAGGAGTTGGAAATAGTCGTAACAGAGAGACGAGTTCCCGAGAATAAATTAATTGTGCCTGGTTCTAAAGTTACTTCTAATCCTGATTTCATGAGGTTCTTTCAGAATTATTTTAAAAAATATGCTTTAGAATCATAAAATAACAAAGTGGAAGTGTTTCTTCTATTGTTTTTCCTTTGTTTTTACTATCATTGAATAACTACTGAAAGAATGATGGTATCGGAAACCAATTTTTCGATAGCTTATGGTAATCCATCCTGTCTTGACCAATGTTTATGTTGTCAGATTCTTCTGATTGAACCTGTTAACTCTGAATTTTAGATAAAATGATGCAAAAATACTTCAGGGGACATGGGACATATATGCGTGATGATGATTTAATAGCATCAGTAGCTGGTACTCTTGAACAGGTGAATAAGCTTGTTTCGGTGCGACCATTGAAGAGCAGGTAAGGTCTTGTTTATGACTAATTAAGGGACAACTTAAGTTTGCATATATACATACATATATTTTTTGTTTTGCCATTTTTTTGTTTCTACTCTGGTCTTATGTTTTTCTTTTGTTCTAGATATAATGGAGAAATCGGTGATGTGGTAATTGGACGAATCACGGAAGTACAACAGAAAAGGTGGAAGGTTGAGACGAATTCCAGACTAAATTCCACGTTACTTCTTTCCAGCGTAAACTTGCCGGGTGGTGAGCTGGTATGGTTTTTCTAATCAAAATTAGTTAATAAAGTGTCACCTTGCTTATTGTTTTCACCTTTTTTATTTCTGTATTCGTCTCTTATCACAGAAAATAAATAAATAGTACTTTGTTTTTCAAAGATTATTTCGTTTTGGTTTGCAGAGGAGAAAATCAGTAGAAGATGAACGAATGATGCGTGAATACCTTAAAGAGGGAGATCTCATCAGCGTAATTTTTTTACTTGATAAATAGAATAGACTAAACATAATGTTTTTCCTTGTTTAAAGTGTTTTTAATCATTCTTTCATCAATTTAAACAAAAATAATTAGCCTAATTTTGTTGCCAGGCTGAAGTGCAAAAAGTGCACTCGGATGGACAGTTGTCGTTGCACACGAGAAACTTAAGATATGGAAAGGTTCGTTTTTTTTTTTTGAAGTTTTTCAAAAATGAAGTTTCCTAGTCTTTAAAATTTTCATTACGTTGGTTCCTCTTCATTAACGAGGACGTTTGATCACTCAGAGATAATGTAATTGTGTTGCGATGCACATATTTTGGAGTTTTTTTCAAGTGAGATCTGCTAGTGCTTACTATTACAAGAATAAATTAAATCCGCTGGTGGTTGTATTTTACTTTTCTAAGTCAGGCAATTTTTTGATTTGATTTTTCACGATAATTTTTTTGATATACTTCGTTTTCGTGGTGCTAAGAATTGAAATGCTGTAAATACTTTTAATAGTAGTTAAAGTAGTTAAACTGATTTTGAAACAATTTTGTAATAATATTTTGCTGCATTTTCATATTTCACTCAGTAAAATACTGCTAAGCATATTAGTTCTTTGCCAAATGTTTTATTTTATCATTCATGCTACATAAGATCAGTTTCAGCTTTCTCAAGGAACTTTGATAAAAATTTCTCCATATTTGGTCAAACGAAGAAAATCACACTTCCACACTTTGCCATGTGGCGTTTCCGTGATTTTTGGACGTAATGGTTATATTTGGATAGCACCTGTAGCAAGTGAGGAACAGAATTTGACTGGAGGTTATTCGCAAAATTTGGAAGAGGTAGTGTTCGGCAGTAGCCGTATGTTGTTATAAACTCTTTTGGATGACCGTAACTGGTAAGTTTTTTAACATTTTTCTGTCCTACTGTTTTAAAAGTTTCATTCTTTCCTGGAAGTATTTTAAGGTAGTATCAATGAAAATTCGATCAGTTATAGCACGTGTGGCAAACTGTGTAAATATCCTTGCTATGCATCATATTCCACTCTACGACACAACGGTGGTGCTTGCTTATGACGCTTCTCTTAATTCTGAGGTTAGTTTATTAGATAGAAATAACTTAAATTGTATTTGCAATGAACAAATTGTAACATTTTTTCTATATAACTTTAGAGATAATTTAAATCTCTAATCTTATTTAATAATCTGTATAAAATCAAGTAGGAGATAATATGCTTTATGCCTTTCCGTTTTTATCTCATTTTTATACATTATTAACACAAGTTTGTTGTACAAAAATCTCTCAGGATATAAGCTGGAAAAAATTAATAGTTGAAGCGGTCAGCTAATTTGATTATTTTGATTGTTCATACATTTCTTTGTTGGAAGTAACCGTTTTTATATTTTCTGTCCCTATTCAGATAAAAGAAATGTTAAAGCCGGAATCAGCAGCAAACATTGCAACAGAAGTTGCGCTGCAGCTGGAAAAAAATTGCTGAAGAATTGAGACATTGCTGAATAAACCTCTTTTTTCCCAGCTTTGTTTAGAATGTTCCTGTTAAGTATAAGACAAAATATTTTTATTGTCTCAGAGCTTGATAGCTAAGATAAAAGAATTATTAAAGCTGGAATCAGACCAAACATTGAATTACTTTGAGCGAATGTAAGCGATTTGTTAACTTACGTATATCATTGATTGAAAATAATGAGGTCCTAATTAGTCGTTCCAAAATATTGTTGTTTTGTTGATTCATGAATTCACCCCAGTTTATATTATTTTTTAAGATTTTTGGAAAATGTTACATCTTGTTTGTTACTGCGCATTTTCCTTTGAAAAATAATTCTTACAAATAAAAGAGTTGACATGCGAAATTGAATTCTTTTGAAAGAAAATATATTCTTGTGTTAACTTTCATATATCATTGATAAAAAATGATGTAATCTGCATTTTGGCACAGAAAAATTTTGCTTACATATCTGACAAGTGAAAAATAAGGCATTAAGTTTATTGGACATATTTTTTTCTTAAGTGCTTTCTATTTTCCTCTTCAATATTTTCTTTTTGATGAAATTATGATCATACTATGCAGATGTTACAGCATGTGGGAAGTAGAATGTTTTAATATAATTCAGATTCGATTTGTCAGCGGTGAGAAGAAATGTTAGATGATGATGTCGAGATCAGTTGTAGGAAAATAATGCTTATGGAAAATGTTACTGATTTGGATGAAAAATTGGGACTGTATGTGGCGGGAATTCTGAAGAAAGCAATTATTGATCGAAATGCTGCTAAAATAGCACTTTCTGGTAAGCTTTACGTAATTAGCAATTCGCATTTTTTTCAAGTGATAGGATCTGGATTTTCAAATAATACATGGAATGTTAACTGTTTTCTGTACTTCGCCGTTGGACTTTGAAGTTTTAATGCCTTCTGGATGTTGCTAGAAGATATTGTGTTTTATTTATGCTTAAAATTTGTTGTTCGGAAGTCAATTTTAGATGACTTAGAGCGGTTTCGACCTTTTCCATATAAAATTTTTAAAAATATCACATCAAAAATACTAGTATAGAAAAGAATTTAATCTTGATCTGTTGGAAAGCATTTTTTGATAATTTCGAGTTCAATTAAACACTTCCAGCTTACAAATTCAAACCTTTTTTTAGGCGGTTCGATGCCTACTATGGTAGCACCGGTATTGGCCAGATTGAAGGATATTGACTGGTCAAAAGTTCGAATATTTGTAGCAGATGAACGGATGGTTCCATTAAGTGATATTGATTCGAATACAGGAGCCTATATGAAAATTCTGCCATCTAATATCAGCCAGTCATTCGTTCCATATGGGCCTATTGATAACGGTATTGTTTGTTTCTATTTTGGCTTTTTTTAGACCACAAATTCTAACACCTAACTTTGTTTCATTGAAATTTTTGAAACTCTATCATTATTAGACAAATGGTGTTTTTTAAGATAGAAGTCGTAACAAAATTTTGTATACTTTCATTTTTTTTAAATGACAGTTTTATCTCTATTCTTTTACCAACTTTAGCATATTAACTTTATAGCAGCACAGTGTGCGAAGAACTATGAAGAACAGATACATCGTTGTACTACAGAGACAACAGAAGGCTGGCCTATATTCGATTTGTTGTTATTAGGGATTGGACCAGATGGTCATACGTGCTCCTTGTTTCCTGGACATCCACTGCTAAGGGTAAAAATACGAAGTTGTATTTCGAATATACCGCTCATATGTTTAACTTTAATGTGAGTAGAAAAAAATCAGTCATATCTTCATCAATAATGATATCGGTGATATCTTTCATTAATGATATCAGTCACTGGACTAATATTACTAATCACAAATAATCTAGCTAAACAAGTAGTTGATTGTAAGCTGTTATATTAAATTCGCCACAAGTTTTTTTTGTCATTGAAATTTTTGGAACTCTATCATTGTTAATGAATATATAAGACGTGAAGGAGACAAATGATGTTTTTTAAGATATAAGAAGTAGAAACAAATGACACTTTCAGTTTTTAAAATTAACAGTTTAAAAGCCTTGCAGATAAAATGAAAATCAGAACTTTTAGTTTTAGTAACAATTAAACACACAAAAAGATATCTTTAATCAATATATCGCTCTTGTGTTTAACTTTACTGCACGTGAAGATTATGTAAGAACAACACATTAAATAAATTGCTTTTACTGCATCAAGCACTATACCATTTGTTGTAAATATAAGTGATTTTACAAGAATATAAGTTCAGGAAAATGTCAGATGGATTGCAGAAGTCGAAGACTCCCCGAAACCGCCACCAAGACGTATAACTTTAACGCTACCAGTTATTAATCATGCTCAATATGTGGCATTTATTTGCACTGGTAAAAAGAAAGGCGAATTAGTACGGGTAAATTATAATAATGCGATTAAAAAAAGATTTATATGTAAATTCATCATTATGATTATTTTTAATATCAGTTATGATTAACAATAATTGATATTTTAAGACGTATACCTTTTTATTATCTCAAATTACCTTTGGATATTGAACTCATCTGAAAGCTCTTTGATAGTGGAATTCAAGTTAAGTGAGTGAGCATTTATTCGTGAGATACTAGCAAATAATTCCTGTAATTAAACATATGTTGCAGGAAATTATTGATGGTCAAAATTCTAGTTATCCAGCAGCAATGGTGAAGCCCAAATCAGGTAATATAGTTTGGTTCATGGATAAAGAAGCATTTGCTGCTTGTGGTGTCTCTGCCAATCGTCTGTGATATGCTATTGTCTTATATTCATTATATATCTTTACCAATAATGAAACAACTGACTGAACCACTTGAAGCATTTTTTATCAAAAACTAGCCACTGATATTGTGCAGGTATATTTGCAATTAAATCGAGAATGTTACTGATGTTTAATTCATCATCAATGATATTGATAGTAGCTTCTTGATATATCGCTGCTAATACAAACGAAAAATTGCACCAAATCTTCATTTACCGATCGTTTTTATTTCTTTTTTCCATATGAGATTTTATTTTATTTTTTATTGTTCTATTGTTCTATTGCAATGATACGCACGATTTTATTTTGAAAAAAAAATTCACTTTTTAGGTTGATGAAATCGTTTTGGTTTCATTAAATTTTTTACCTTTTTTACAAATGTTTCCTTTTAATTTTTTTCATCTTATTTTTAATAAAGCTTAATGAAGTCAATTTGAAAACGATTAGAAAAAAGAACTTTTCAAAAGCTTATTTGAAATTAACACATATTTTAAAAGGTAGTTTGCATATATTATAATAAAGTATCTCAAAGTCGACAGTATAATTTTTATCTTATTCGATTAGTGTTCTTGCACAACTCAAAAGCATTCTTCAAACGTAACAGTAGCTACAGAAATATGATGATGAATTTGGATGATTGTTGTGGAAAGTGCTGGAAAATATCGGGTTAGGAATGATTAACTACTCATTCATATAAAATTAGGTCACTGAAACACCTAATCATGGTCTACATTTTGAAATCTTATAACAGAAAAAAAGTATACATTTGAAAATTTCATAATTCGAATGTCGACAATTTTAAAAGTCAGTATAAAAAATCACAGAAATAACCTTACAATAAAGCTGTTGATGAAGATAGCAAATTCAAATTTTCGTGTTTTTAATGCTGATTTTATTTTAGAGTATCAAATTTTGCTTACGAACATAAGGGAATGAACAGTGATGCAAATATTCGTTGATAGTGCATTGTCCTCTGTTTCTCGAATATATGTGTGTTATTAATGATTATAATACTTAAAATAAAGCGTAATCTATATAAAATATAAAATTCAACCATGATAATTAATATATTAATAACATAAGAAAACGTAAAATATATTAATAACATAAGAATGACATGAAATATATTAATAATATAAGAATGACGTAAAACAACACGCTGTAATTAAGCCAGTTTGTAGATTTTACAAAATGTACAATACTGCGAACTAATACATTTGGGAACTGTACTAAAGTAAACATTTAAAACGAATGGAAGGAGAGAAGTAATAGGTTTTTCAAGAAATTTTACCATGCGCTATGTTTATTTCATTGTAAAGAAAGACAATCTAACAGTTTAAAGAGATTTTAATATGCAATGACCGTATTCCCTTCTATCATTCAAATTCAATGGTACCACTCCACTAAATCTCGCCTACGTTACTTTTTTCAGCCATATACTTTGATACTTTTTTTGTGATACCAGATTTTACTGTATTTAATTCAATTCATACTTTCAATCTATTCCAACAGTACTGCTACTGGCTATAACAATATTGGATATGATGAAGGATAATTTTGAAAGTCCTCATTTCTAACAATTTAATCTCTTTCCTTTCTTATCACTCCTATCAACCATCATCTTCACTATCATCAATTACTACCATTTTTATTTATTGACATTACCGAAAAGCACAAACTCTTTTATATTTAATTTCATTTTATTGTTGCATAACGATAATTAATCATTTTCATTTTTAATCACTTTATTTTATTATCATTTTATTAATCATTTTATTGTTGCAGAACCGTAATACATGTCATTATTCATTTTATTGGTAATTTTATTGTTCCATAACATTTTATTGTGAATAATCATTTTATTGTTGCATAATCGTAATACATGTCATTATTTTCATCTATCAAGTAATACTATGAATTTCAACAGTAAATTTATATCTTAATTTACTGTTACAGTCGTTTTAGTTCATATGATACTATCATTTTTTTCAAACAGTTCCTCATCAATACCTTACCCAAACTTCCAAACAAATGATAACGGAAATTGTCGTCATCTTCGAAAAAGGATATTTATCAGAAGACTGTTCAATAGATACAAACGAACAATTTCTTAATGAAAAATTCTCTTTTTTCCGCCAATTCTTAAAATCATTCCACAAAAAGAACAATTTTATTTGAATGATTTTTTACCTTATCTATATTATATCAATATTATTATCACGAAATCTTTCTCATTCTTTCTCTCTCTTTTTCCCTCTCCCTCTCTCTCATTAAATAGTCTTACTTGTAATAGGCTAAAGTTTTTTTTAACTTTCATATTAATTTTTTGCAGTAAATATATAAGCAACTAGAAACAGTAATTAATTTTATATAGAGCATGAAAATGTTTTCATAATTTTAATTGTCATTTTTGAAATGATGAACTAAATAATCAGTGAAATATGATGGAAGATATTGCTTTTAGAAATGAGAACAACTGAACGTATGATCTTGAAATTATGTTGACAACATCAAGGTCAAGGCATTACAGATGCATATCAGCAGCATCTACTAGGAATGTCCAATTTTTCTTCCGCTAAGACTTTTTTTTTTTCTGCCGCTATCGTTCTTGAATAAGCAGCTTATAATTTAACTAATTTCATAGTCATGATTATTTTGCAGTCATTAAACGCTATTATTTTATTTTTGTTGGTTTTAACAAATATTATTGGTATATTTATTTTAGAATATACAAATATACCAGTAATATTTGTTAAAACGTTTTTTTTTAGGAAGGTCAAGAAGCATTTTTTTATAAGGTTAGGAAGATATTCTTTTTTTTTTAAATTCTAATTTCTCTTCTCCTTCGGTATAATTTTTATTCATCAAAATGACTTCCTAATCTTATAACTTTCTAACCCAAAAAGATCAAAAATTCCATTATCAATATTGCGTTCCTCTTCTTTTTCTCTTTGTTATATTAAAATACCTGTAATATTGAAAAGCGAAAGATTAATTTTTGCAATGATGATTGGTGTGCTATTTGCTGATAAAAGAAAAAAAATGGTATTATTGAAAATGAAAGGTAGCATTAGTTAATGCGATGAAGGATTACCGCAAGATTAAATGAAAAATGTGACATGTCACCATGGCTTATAATCGATCAAACTGATTGTAGTCCTGTTACTGAAACTGCTTTCTTCCAGTTAATTGCTTTATTACTTATTGTAAAGAGTTAAAGACTGAACATATTTGGCATTTTTCAAATTTAGAATATAGGATTGTACAGTACTCTGTGTACAGTACACAGTCGGACTGTAGGGTACATCTTTTCCATATCTTCAATCACTTTCATAGCTCTCTATTAATTCTTTTATTAAAATTTTTGTTCAATTCCATAAATATAATATTTTTAAATTCCAGTAGAAGCAGAAGGATAGTTTTGAAATAAAAAAATAAACAAACGTAAGTTATATTTGTTACCTTATGATTTCTAGTATCCGAATGAATTGTTAACTTGAGGGGGAATATTTAAAAATTTCTTTTATCATTTTACTATAGATTAAATGATGAAAATTGATAAATTAACTGCTGAATCATCTACGAAAATGAAAATGTTTATTAATTGAAATGAATGAAAAAAGACTGCAAAAAAAAAATTAAAACTTATTCGGAACAAAGTATGGTAATTTGAACATATTTCAATTCTTTACAGAAATTGAAACAAAACAAATATCTTTTTATCAGTATTTCTGTCCATCAGTACATTTGGATGAATGTTGAAATTAATCATAAAGATTTGATTTTCTTTTAAAATTGCGTACGTGACAAAAAAAAATTACAGTAAAGTGACAAATGAAAAATTATAAAATCATTCTTACTGTTTTAATTTCAGACGGAGTAATTATTCATGTTGTTTATTATTTTAATATCATTTCCTAATGATCCATTTAAGCTATCTTTTTCTAAACTGTCAAAAATTAACAACCCACACATTAGATCAAGAAGATACCACCCTTCAAGAAATCTAAGAAACGGATGATTAAGGTCAGAGCATTAAAATGGGATTAAAAGGAATTCAGAAACAGTTCTGATCTTTTCTAATTTATTATCACATACTCATCCTCCAACAAAAAATTTAAAGCGTCTCTACCAGGAACAGTTCTTAATTTAAAAAAGCGTTAAATTTTGATTTGTGTTATTTGATTTTACAGCTTTCTATAATAAAACAAATATTGACTGTATGATAGAAGCTGAGAACTTTTGTTAAACCTTTTTTTTTTTTTAATGAAAAAAGATTTACAAAACAATCTCAGTTCAAGTATTACGAATAGTGAAATTTCATATAAATGGTACATTGATATTCTTCAAACTTATGGGAATGTGTATTTCTTAGGAAGATTCAATTAAATTGATATTTCAATTTCGAAACTAATTTGATAAAGGGTGCTAAAAAGAGCCGAGCAAATGTTTGCTTCATGGCTTTATTATGAAGTACTTGTACTCCATTTGGAATACTCACAAATCTTTTTTTTTTTCAAAACCATTCACATTAGGCCTAGCCATAAATCATGTCTTGTCAATAATATTTTTTAATTGGAAATTAAAATTGCTGAGTTAAATATTGATGATGTCGGCAAAATGAACAAATATTTGCTATTCAAATCGCTTAAATTTTTTGAACCAATTGGATTTTGTTTCAATAAATCAAAATCATTATTTATCATTACAGTACACAAATGTTTTAATCATGCTTTCGATGTTATTTAAATTTACTTTGAATTAGCAATATATTTGTCTTAATGTGAATAATTCTATCAATTTGACAAATTCTATTCATCAATTTAATTAATTGCTAGAATCGTTTTATCATGCATTAATGCTATATGGTAATATTTGTAAAATTTGAAATTTGAAAAATTTAAATTTCTTCAATAATAAAACATTCATTGGTTTAAACGTTAAATGATGCGTAGGATCATTTTATATTTGATACAATATTCTTCAGCAATACATCTTTAACAAAAATTAAAGAATGAGTTTTGCTATCGTTATCAAAAATGAAAAACTGTAAATTTGGCAGAGCGACAGCAACATGGCCTAATTTTTTTTTTTTTAGTACCAAAGAATACATGTCCCCTTTTTTTATCTTTCATCCATTACTACTATGCTGCTTCCTGTCTCTCTCTCTCTCTTCCTCCATTCTCCCTTTTCCCCTCTCCTAATTTCAAATCGTTTCTGTTTTTTTTTTTAATAAAATTTTTAAAGAAATAACTTTCAGGTTAGTAAAAAAAAAGATAGCCAGTGGAATAGTGCCATTTCCTGCCGATTATTTCGCCAACATCAATTTCTATCGGCCTTTTTCCTCCTCAAATGTTCGATATTGCCGAACATTACTGTGCCTGTACTTTTTTTTCAAATAATTTTTATTGTTGAGCGAAAAAAAATTCAATTTGAATTAAATTCATGCAACGTAAAATTATTATTAATTAAATAAAGATGATCTTATTTATTGTAATTACCATAGCTTACTTATTCAGTTAGATTTTATAAAACTGATCATTTTAAATTTCTCAACCATGTGAAAATGACATATTCGGAATGTTTAATTTCACGATAGGTCAAGGAAATTTCATCTTTATGGGAAATTCCATGCAGCTATTTATTTAAAATAGCTCTATCAGTCATTTAAAAACTTGACAGCTTGGAAAAAGCATCTTATTATTTCCTAAAAATTTACTCATCCTTGGAAAAAATTGACTTTTGCTACCAAAAAAAAAAATGAGACCAAATCTTTTTAATAGCTCATTTTCTCAGTCAAATTTTAGAAGCAATTTATTTCTTTTGCTCGTTTTTCAGTTAACTTCTCAAAAAAAAGAGAAAAAAAAATTTTTTATAATTAAATAATTGCAATAAGATTAAAACATTACTTCATGATGTTCAATTCAACAAAGTACTTGAAAAGTTCCATTTGCATCTTAACAACAAAGATTTCATATTCAAGAAAGGCTTATCTAAAGATCGACATAACTTCTTAGCTCAAAGCTTTTGCTTTCAAAAGTCTTATCAATTTCTTAAGCAGATATGAAATAATAAATTCACAAGTCTTAACATCCATCGGTCTCCTTTGTTTATTTTCAAAATTTTTAAATTAACTAAAAGTCTATTAAATTATCAAAATTAAGTGTTAATAAAGTATTTACTTAGCTTAGGATAAATCACTGTTTATTACTTATAAGATAGAACTAATAAGAAGTTATTTGATAAGAAAAAAAAGGTCAAACGATGAGGAAATTGGCGAAAAGATGCATTACTTGGTGATTGATTTTCTCAATTCAAGTTATACTTATAATATTCCCGAGAGTTTTCTGATTCTGGAACATAAATTCACGAATCTAGAATTGAGCAGTCTATCTTCTGACTGACTATGTCACGAAGATAACAATGAGTCATGTAAACTAGAATTTGAAATGGACATACTAATTTTGGATTACTGATAGTTTATTAATTAGTTTCAAATAGTCTATTGAAATAATCAAATCCTTTATATTTCTCCATACTTCATGAGTTATCAAACCCTAATCAGGTATTATTCAAGCACTTATCAGAAGATGTAATATCTCCAATTCCCTTATCTATACTTTACTTTAACAGTTCTAGGAAGCCGTAAATTAATCAACTCATCAAGCAAGCTCCCGTCAACTGATCGATGTTATACAATCATTCATGTGAGCTACTGAAAGTGTAGTTGTCCATCATCATCATTATCATCATCATCATCAACAACAACAACAACAACAATTTCCAGATACATATTCTGAAGTACAGGATTCCCGTTTCCTTTTTGATTCAGAACTATGCATGAAAGGGTAAGAATTTTTCATAGCTCAGACTAATCGTTAAAATTTTGTCCTAAAATAACTTAAGTATAATTTTTTCAATAATGTTAATTATTTCCAGCATTTTTCTCAATTTTAACTTTTTTTTTACACATAATCTCTTTTATCAATCAAAGTAATCCAATTACAGACAGTCAGTAATTGTTATATTCTCTGTTCAATAGCCATTTGAATAACAGTAACTTTTGGATTTATTTCTGATAGCATTCATTGATTTGATAATGTCTGATATTGCTAATAATTCCTCAGTTTTTCTCTCCCAATTTCAAGTTCGCAATATTGGTCAGTTTAATTCTTATCTTGATTTTGTTATCAGCATTCCTCGATAATTATCCATTCAGCAATTTCTTAAATTACTTATCCTCATTACTTGTAATTTAAATTCATTGTTATTTTCTTTCGCAATTTCCTTTGCAGTAATTAATCATTTGCACAAAGTTTATATTTAAGATCACTGTAAATATATAGCATATTTAATTTATAATTTCTCCTTTATCCTTGATGATCTCTTAATCAACTGATTTCCCTCTCAGTATAGCGAAAGTCTTCTTGTTTCGGTAAAACTTCTTTCTTCAGTCCGTTTAATTAAATGATTTTGTAAGTCTTTTATTGAAGATTGAATCGATAGAATATCTCGGGACGCGAGAATCAAAATGCTTCCAATCAGCTTTTCACCCATTCTTGAAGCTTTTAAATTGATGAGTTCACTCCAAAAATAGTGAGAAAAAAATGAATATACATGCTTCAAAGTTATGTTTAAATTAAGTGAACGCCAAATGTGATCTTCTGAGTATGTAGACATCTGCTAATTTAATAAGAAAAAAATATTGATTTAGAAATATAAAAGTATATATAGTATAAAATGTAAATTTCGAAAATATTCAAATAGCATGATATGATTTGATTAATATCAAATCTATATTTGAAATAAAGTTAAAACTTAACTTGGCCGGACATAGGATATATGCAAATACTATGGAATAGTGATAAAATTATTATGAAAAATCTAAATTAGCTAGAAAACCTTAGCTTAACTTCTTTCTCCATTTTTAAAGCACAATCCTTCGAATTTATAAGCGAGTTTAACATATGAAGAAATCTTCATATGTTAAACTCGCTTATAAATTCGCTCTTTCCTAATGCAAATTATATTATTAATATTTTAATATTCTATATTTTTGTGTTTTCTGGAAACAGCACTGAAAATGCACGTTGATAAGCAAGTAAGTTGCAGATTTAATTGTATATCAAAAATGAACATTGACTTTGTGCAGATCACAACACTGATCACAGAATAATATTGGTGTTTAAAAAAAAAAAATTTTTTTTTTTCAGTTCGATGAAACATCGTTACGGTACAAAATTAAGCTAATTGTATGGCTTGCATTATTATTTGCAATGGTTTGCATCGTTATCGTTATATTCATACTAACAATTTCAAAAAGTTAGCTTTTCTTACCTCGATTTCATTCACAGAATATTTTGACAAGAGTAGTTAATGGATTAGACTTTTTTTTTTTCACGACTGATTAGACTTTTTTACAAATTTTTGCAAATGTAACTTAATTATTTCATTAGTCTGTGATTTATCTTAATGATGCTTGCATACTTTCTTTAACTACATTTTTATCAGACAGATCAAAATGTTATCAGTTTGATGAGGATTGCAACTGTAAAATGATAATAAACTATAAAATAAATCCCTAAATTAGCAGTACTTGATATTCAGTTTTGACATTACACTCTATCAATTTTATTAAAATAGATCGATAATATAAAACAATGGAATTATTTGTAGTGCAAACAGTTTCATCAACATCGCTTTATGCATTGCGTCATTTGGAGGGTCATTTTTTGGTCACAGAAGGACCGCTACTGAAATTTGATGGAAGATTATTACAAAAGAATACTGATGAATTCATTACACATGCTAATAAAATTCAACGACAGGTTGATTATACGTTAAAATTTCACTTGTCATTACCAACTTTTTTATTCAAAAATCTCACTTATTCCTTATCCTCATTTCTCCACCAACTTCTTTCTCTAAAAGATGCGACAAATGCGCTTCATATTATTACCGCCTACAACTATATTTCCACTTTTCTCGTTATTGTTCCTTTTTGCATGCATATTATTAAGATATGCACGTACATCATACAAAAAAAGGTGGATTTTCAGTTAAATTTCATCTATCGACAAAGTGATTATGGATGGGTATATGTTGGATCAGAAGTGACAAAGTTTAGGTAAGGATGGATAATTTTAAATATTTTTGTGATATTTATTTCAGAGTACTGAGTAAACTTCTTAAATTGTTATTGAAAATGTATTTTGAAAAGAAGCAAACAATTTGACTAAAACATCCCTCCTCCCCACCCCCCTCCCCTCTTCCTTCCATATACAATGTAAAATTGATTTCCAACTTATGAAGTGAAATGTTAAAAATTTTAATTCCAACATCAATACTTACGGACAAAAATTATTTTAAACTAATATAGTGAAGATAATTGATAGTTAGAAATATTCTTATTAGTTAAATTATTAATTCCAGTTTCATGGCACTCTTTGTGGTCTTAGATAGCTTATTTTTGGTAATTTAATTAATTAGCAGATTTCCTTGCAAAATGAAATTTCCATTCAGTGCAAAATGAAATTTTCATTCAAATCCGTTCTGAAAATATGTACGAATTGCAGATTCGTACCAGCAGTACCAGCTCTTAATGTAACATTCATCTTGAAGACACGATCTGATTTAAATATCGATGTCTTCAATTTCTTGTCTGTATTAAGGAATTATGTACGGGCACGTGGATTTGATGGAAATACAATCGATGACAAAAGTATTAGTCTTGAAATTAAACATTTTTCATGACATTCTTCAAAAAAAAAAAAAAAAATTTAGTCCTTAGCATTTAAATCTAATTTGTAAGAAAGCAACATATCTTCCATATAAAATTTTATTTAAGATATTGTGCTAATTTTTTTCTTTTTGCTGAAATGGATCAATGGTTAATAATAATCGATGTCCTTAAAAATATATATCCAATCAAACTTATTTGATGAGCAGCACTGGTATTTTTCATGTTGAATTCACATTTGCCCTTTTCATCAATTTTCACAATTTTTATAGCTCCTTCGAAATTTAAAGCTTACATCAGAGGAAGGATGATCTTGTTTAGAACTCAATAACTTGGAAAAATAATGAATATTTTAAAATGACGAAATGAAATCATCCCCTTAATTCCTATTTGAATTTTGCTGGAGGCATTGAATTTCCTAGATTTCATTCTCGATCAAATTTTATTTCCTGATGCAATGCATATACCATATTTAGAATATTATTTGCCGCTCATTGAAACAGCAGAACACTTAGGAATTCTTCGCTCTAATTTGATCTGATCATCTTTCGAGGTGCTTGCAAAAATCATTTAGCATTACTTCACTTCTAGGTTGACTACTTTGTCTAATTAAAATTGTTACTTTTCACTCCAACATGTATTTCTGATGCTTTTATTCACAATCAGTTAAAGACATCAGAAGGAAGCTAAAGAATGCATGAATGGAAGAGGACAAAAAACATAAAGACAGAAACACATAACAACAACATTTACAAAATTTGATCGAAATGAACAAGCATCATTATTAAATGTTGTAGCGAAAATATTTTAAATAGTATGAAGCTGACTAAATAAGTGAAAGATGAATATGAATAAATAATAAAAGAAGTCATGAAAGAATACCACAAATTACCCTGTTTTGGGAGGAGAAGCCATCTAACACATCATCAAATCAACATTAACGATTACTTTGAGGACTTCTAACTCAATTAGTTTGATTATATGTTAGATGGCTTCTCCTCTCAAAACATATATTCAGATAAAAAAAATAAATATATAGAAATGTTAAAATAAAAAATGCTGAAAAAAATGTTACAAATTAATAATTATCCATTCTCCTCATTAAGGAAAAGCATTTTCTTTTCTAAGCAATAAATTATGAAATTTCCTCTTCGAAAACATCTGAATGAATCAGTTTCCTATTTCAATTAAATTCCAAATTTCGACAAATCGAAAAAAAAATTCAGTTCTTAAACATCTCTTCTATCCTGATCGATCGAATGCTTATCACTATTAATGTTTTTGGCAAATTTAAAATCAACAATCAGTAGAACTAAAACTACAATGTAGTGCAAAATCAGCATATATTCAGCATAAAAAATTGCGTGGATTAAAAGTGAGCAAAGTAAGTTGAGTGATTAAAAAAGCAACTATTGACAAGCTGTTTAAATATCATTTTCATGAATAACATGTGAAATATCATACAAAGAAATAAAGGTTATTGAATTCATTGTCCTACCAAAAGTTGGACATCTTCGAAACTCTGTAGATTAAAAAGAGGTAACATGGAATAATTTGCTCATACATCTTATTTAGAGAAATCTATCTCTTTCATAGTTGAAATCTTGCGCCTTTAAAAATGATTTTAGGTTATAAAACAGAAAAATGCAGCGAAAATATAAGAGAATCAGAAAAGCAATGAAATAATCACAAATAGTTTTGCAACAAACAAAAAGAAAAGAAACCCGTTCATTCTCAGAGAACCAATTTTAAAATATGCCGTAAATAATTAGATATGAAGACATCATGAATTATGTCAGAATGAAGTGTAACTTGCAGGAATATACAATCCCATAAATTATCTCATGGATAAACGCGAGATACGTATATAATAAATTATCTGGAAAGATCAGACCACTCGCAATCAAAAACACATATTATAAGAAAATTCTTCATTTGGAATTTTTGATTAAAAATTATTGTAGCGTTGTTGGAGGATTCAATATAGAAATCAATGCTGCATTTACAACCTATCCACTTCATGTAAGCAAGGTATTTTGTTCATTGAAGCTTTAAACTTCGTACGATAACAAAAGAATTGAGATTTTGTACAACATAACGGGATCATAAAATATCTCTTTGATTAAATACATAAATATAATTCGAATAAGTACTTATAATAAAAAAGTCACCAAGTCTCAGGATGGCTCGAAAGGATCATCATGATTAGCTGCTCGAACTCGTAATCGAGCAAAATCTTCAAAAATAATATCTTCATCCTCGACCCTTGGAAAATCAAAACTGAAACAAACGTCCAAATGACAGAAGAAATGACAGAAATAAAGATAAAAGCCACGACAATATCAGATGAAGAGTGTAGTAATTGAGACAGTATTAGTTTTGAATTATCTGAAAAGTATAGGTTGTGCATGTAACAATTACCAAATTAGAACTAATAGTTTTTTATAAAATTTCAAAGACTAGAAATCCATTTCTGAAAAAAAGTTATTTCAAAACTTCAAAAGTCTGAAGCTACTGAATGATAGATTGACTAACGTATCAAGCTGTATAAGATCCACATTAAGTCCTTCATTGTTTGGCGGACTCTTTGTCCTCTGTTGGTCCTGAAAATACTTACCATATATTTCTCAAATCAATGAACTTAATACTTAAGAATGTTCACAGTAGAATCAAACTGCTCTTACCAAAATTTAAAATGGATTTTCAACAAAATGAAACATTAACTTACACGTCGCTCTTCAATGCTTTCCAAAGGCTTCGGATGTGTCAACGTGAAAGGCAATTCAGCAGTTAATTCCCCTCCAAGTGGACCACTAATACTTAAACGCACTTTTACTTTATACTGTACAACAATTCCAAGATTTTCTTTTGTTGTCTCTGACGACAAACTGCAAAAAATCGTTATGTCATTTAAAAACATATTCAAAAACACCAACAAATAAAATTTCAAATCTAGTTTCTAAATCAATATATATGAAATACATGAGTTATTTAAATTTGAGAACGATATCTTTCATCACCATAACAAAACTATTCACTTACGATGTCGATGAAGCCAAACTGGTGTCTTCATGTTTCAATTGTCCATCCAAAGCAAGACCACGTTTGTCTTTATTGTTCGAAAGTAATGGGCATAGAGTATAAACTTTAGATAATGTTGCTCCTGGTCCCACAGGAAAGCCTTCACTAGAAAAAAGAACAAAAAGAATAAAATAAGATTTGCTAAGCGTATAACAACTAATTTAATTAATAAAGCAAAACCGAAGTTCTGTTCATTTGCTATAACAAAATTTTCCATATTTTTGTAAATTTCCACGTTGAATAACAAATTAATCGAAATATCAGAGTAAATTAAAAAAGCACTTTATAAAAGTTTCAAAATAAATGAATTCAACAATATGTGGCACATAACTAAAATAATAAGCGCGTTTGATTTATTTTAATGTTGAGAATAGCAGCCATTAACAAAAGAAATGAATAAAGCGATATGAGATGTTTTTTTGTTTATGGTAATGACAAATCAAATAGAAAACATTCATATCAAAAGGAAGCACGCTCAATAACAGCGAAAAATGGTAAACTAACGTTGACTCAATTTTTGCAACTTCACATGTATAGGATGCAGTAGTAAAAAGGCATATATCAGCAATCTGAGCAATGCAGGCTTTAATTTTTTTCACCGTCTTGTTACTGTTGTTCTGGATGTGAACATTCACTGCTATTGACTCACCGTGATAATACATCTATAAGACAATTTTGGAAAAATTATGTAATTAAAATAGGAGAAAAGACGAGCATAATTTTTTTGCAAAGGTGCAAAATTGATTATTTTTAAGGTTGGTGTTGGATATTATGCATTTTGATATAATATTTTTGTTGCACAGCGTATTCGATAATCATCTAATAAATGCCTGCTATTATTTCTCATCTCTATTCGTCCACACACTCACATATGAGCATAATTCAACAGCAGAATTCTAGATTTTAAGATTCAAATTATATGGCGAATATCAGTAAAAAATGTGGAATAAACTACCTCTTTATCGAGTGATGCTTCTAAATGTAACGAGCCGGAACTCATCATGAACTCTTTGGTTACTTCGATAGTTGGCTGAGGACGATTTCTGTACGGTGCATAAGTTAATTTTCTTATGGCCAAGCGCACACTATTACTGAAAAGAAAAATAAATCATTTTTCTTAATTCCTTGTTTAGTTTTCTTTTCATAATATATGTTGACTAGCATTAACAACAGCAAATGGGTTTTTTTTTTCATTTAAAATGAAGAGAGAAAGAAAATATCCTGCTTACAAATTATCGTCAATTATTTTAAAAAAATTCTCGATTTTAAAACCTTACTGCTTTTTTCGTCTATCGACACTACTGCCCTCAGGAGATTCCACAACTGTTTTCAACTCGAAATCAACTCCGCACGGTTTTCCTGTGTCACCCTGAGCAGGCTAAAAACAGACTAAAAATTATTTAGATACTATAATTGTAAAACGTTGCGCTAAAAAATACGAAAAATTTGGACCTTAGAGCAAGCAGATTATTTGGTAAACTTGTGATACTTCAGTATAAGTTAACCTCCTATATTCTATGACATCTGATAGTACAACATTAGAAAAGAATTAAATTCATTAAGGAACCTGTAAGGTTACACTTGATGCTGAGTGAGTGGGAATCTGAAACCAAAATGGATATGCATTGGTTCCTAATTTTTTTTTCAACCTCTCCTGTAGTCGTGTCAACGGTCGAAGATGTACAGTATCCACTGGATATACCTTAAAAATACGGTAAGACAATCAACAATCATATTTTAATCATCGCTTTAATTTTTCCCAAGTCAATATTAAAGAAAATCAATATTGATCACAACACATCACAGATTTTATAAGGATATAAATGCCTAAAGTAAAGACAAATATATGAAATGGATCAAAACAAATAAACCAAGCTATGAAATAGCAGTTTTCTCAACATTCTAAACGTATCACAACCAACTGTTCAAACAAAATTCATTAAAATTGATTAACTAGTTGAAAAAAAAAACAAAAAAGGAATGTAACCTGAAAAGTCTGCGAGATCAAGTCTTTTCTGAAAGTTAAACCTAACACATCCAAATCTTCGCGACCATAACGAAATGCTGCCAGAAGATAGGAAGTAATCTTTCTGTTTTCCTTGATATAATCTTCGTCGATTAAAACCATACCATCTATAAAACTAACGAAAAATTATCACCACGAGAAAATGAAACTATATGAAATAGAATCAAGTCTTTAAAATTGCCGTAAATAAAAATGGATAACGGATAACATTTAACAAACATTCACATGATTTAGAACAGAACACATTTTAAAAAACAAAAACAAACCTATTAAATCAACAAAATTCCCATGGTCGATGAAATCTCTTTTCCCCAAATAGGTTGTAATCTGAAGCATTTAACAGACCCCAAATTTAAATTATCAACCATTTCAACATGTAATGTATAGGTGTCTTGGAGTAACAACTGTGACTAATTGTATGAGTTCAATTCATTATTTGAATGAAAGTTTATTATTGAGATTAGAAACCAAAAAAGCTATAATGAAAATGAAACATCTGCAGGGACAAAACACAGCAAAAAGCCGCTGAAAAGTCTGTCCACCAGAACAAATAAAGCAATAGAGAAGCAACTGAAAAAGTTAAACCCCATGAAAATGAATAGTAAGCCAAAACTCAAAGCAGAAATTGTAACAAATTTAAGGTTAGCAGTGAGTAAAAATATTAAAACAAAATGACTGCTAACTTCTTTCAATGAAAAATTTTCAAACAGAACAAACCTTGCCATTCGGACTTGTCTTTTTGAAAACCCTGAAAATAACTCTTTTACTTATATTTAATCAGTTTACTTAAAAATTCATTTTTAGCTTTAGCAAATGATTACTTTCCAGTATCATATGACTGATCCATAAAATAAGCTACTATAGGCTAAACATTCTAAAACGATGTGAAAGATTGAATATAGTAAAGTTTTGCAGAAATTTACCTCGTTCCAGCTCTTCTTTCATCCATTTCAACAGCAGACTGAATGATTCACAGTCAATATCAGATAAATGAACTAGATCTTGAATGCTATAATAAATTCACTGCATTAAATGAAAAAAAAAAAAAAAACAAAATTGATTTATCCAAATATGTGAATAAACGATGAAAGATAGGCAATGAAAGTATAAAACATAATATATAATAATAACTATAACAAAACAATTACTTAATGCCACGAATCTAATAGCATTTTACCAAATTCTAAGCTATTACTAAACATTAATCATCTAACAAATTTATTTAAAAATGAAACAAATGAATGAAGCTCTCGTTCCTGTAATGCATCATAAGAAAGAGAAAAACAAAAGCTGAGAAAGAAGAATGTATACTTTCTATTCCCGAAATATTTCATCCAACTATTTACTGTCAATAAAATGTCGCACACATTAAGCATAAACTTCCAAAGTTAACATTGTACATTTTCAACAATTTAAACTCTTTTTTGATTAGTTTTAAATTTAAAAGAACAAAAAGAGCAAACGAATAAAAAAAAAAAACTGTGTAAGCCAACTTTTGTCTTTCTGATTGTCAAAATAAAAAGGAGTATTCATCAATGACCCAAACAAACAGCAGCAAATGACCCCTCTAAGTTAACCAGCAATATTTAATTCACTGGCAACTCGGACATTGACCTCCTCTCTCATGCTGTCAGCAGACGTCCCCTTACCATACATCATTTTCACAGTACCTACAATATACTGTTCTCTATTTCACACTTTTTTTCCACCATTCATTTTACTTTCATTTTCTGTACTGTTATAAAAAATATTTCTTCAAATTCTTATCATTATTTTCTCCCTTATCAATCAGTCTCTCTGATCAGTACTGATTCCTCCATAAATGAATTCTTTTT